TCCTGTGTTATATAGTGGTGAATCACTAAGTATTTTGAATATAAAATTGACTTGATGTTGAAACTTTTTTTTTTAGGAGGAGAAAAAAAAAGTGAAAGCTATAAAATCAAACTTTTTCAAAACATGCAGATTTCCATACGCAGAGTTTCAGGTTTTGGAAATCCATAAAAGATGAGTAAACATATGGTAAAGGTGGTTAATAAGTGGTAATGAATATTTCTGACAACTTTACATATTCAGTATCCACCTGAAACTACTGCATTGCCCAACCTGCCATATTTCTGGAAATCCCAAGTAATAGTACAAATCCTTAAAGTGATCATGAACAAAATTCCTGGTTGGAAAGAAAGAGGTCTATTCCTGGTTCTTTCAAAACAGCTTCACAGTCCTATTTTATAAGTATATGCAAATCCCTGAATTTCATGTGTCTCTGATCTGTCAAGACTGCAGTTGTTTCTAACATCTGATGCATATACATGCAGCAAGGTACTTAAGAACCTGTATTTAAATGAACATTAAAGTGAAAAGGCAGGGTTCAGAAATTAGGAAATCTAAGGCATAAAAACCTACAACAGAGTTTTAAAAAACTACACAGCCCCTTTTTGTGCCACTGCCTTATGTTGTGGATTTAAGCCTTACTCTAACAGTGGAGTTCAAAGATGCTTTAGGGTGAGTAAAGCACATCTACTTCAGATTAGTTAACAGAATTTATTTACTTCTTGCTCAGCTTAGAACACTAAAATTATAAATAAAAACGGGTGAAATCACCTGTTGACTTGTTTGATGGCCGAGGTGCAAATATATTTATTGGTGAATTTACTGCCCGGAGCTGATTTACCATATTCGGCAGCACACTATACTCTGTGCAGCCACACACAGAGCAGGAGCACGAGCAGGGATACACTTCTACCCGATCTCTTACCTCCGCGTTGACCAGAGCAGCATCGGCACATGTTGCACGGCCAGGGCCGCGTGGAGCAGCAGGGCGAGGGAGGCGAGGAGCGGGGCTGGGGCGGCGGGGCACGGAGCCATGGCTGCGGGACTGCCCAGGGAGCGCCCGGCACAGGGGGAGCCCGGCCCGGCCCGGCCGTGCGCACAGCCGCACTTCCCGCCCGGCCCTGCCGCCGGACCCGCCGCGCCGAGCGCTGACACCGCTCCGGCAGCAGGGGCGTTCAGAACGCCAACTTCCTCCGCCCGAGCTCGGGAGTCACTCCTGCTTTTAATACTTTCAGGTTTGCGGTTCAAACAGCTCGTAAAACGCCCTGTCAGTTTCCTCTAACCTTCAAGTGCGAGGGAAAGTCATGGAGTTCAAACTGCTGTCCTATGCAGGCTGATAACACTTATGTAACTTCAAAATGGAGTTTGCAGAAAAGTTTTCTGTACTGCACAAAATGTATTCTGCAGAACTTATATCTTCTTCCCCTGCTACATATTATCATGTCCCTCAGCTTAGTTTTTTCACATGCATTGAGATCTGGCGTCACACATTTGGGTGTTGACAGGTTTGAAATCTGCAACAAACTGCAGATTCCAGCAAGAAGAGAGAGAAAATGGCATGTTCAGAGCCACTGAAACGCAGAATTGTTAAGCTATCTTTTGCACGGAGCAATGCTGCCCCAGAAATCAAAAATATTTTAAGTTGGGGCAAATTATAATCACTCCAGAATGTGACAGGACTTCAGTGTTTCACATGACTCATGTGAGAACAAAATAGTCTTAGAGAATTCCTTCATGCCCGGAAGCAAATTGCTCTGGGACGCTTTTTTGTGGCTGCCAAACACTGAGCAGTTTCTACACCTTGTGACTACATTAGGCAGCAGCTCGGGCACATGTTTGGCTCTGGGCAAAAATGCCTCCTCACTATCAGAACAGGATGTTAGAGATCATACACAAAAGAAGTTATGAGCTATGTTAAAATGAGTTGTCTTAAGGGGAAAATAAGGAAGCACAATGAGAACTGCACAAGATGACAGAAACAGAGGTCAGAAGACATGCATGACTAAATCTGAGCACATGCAGTCAGATCAGTTAAATCTACTTTTCTTGAATCACAGTATATTGTTAGAGTGGGGTTGCCTAATATAAGGCAATTTGTTCATCAGCTCAATCTCAAATCTGATTTCTCAGAAAAAAAATAATTTTAAGGGTAGCAATAAAACATTGCCATTTTCCTTTTCTTCTCCATTTTATCTTTACATAACACAGATTTTTACTGTACTTTTTCCTCTTAAACTCAGAGATATCTTAGAATTCCCTTTAACAAGCCAGTGTGTGTGTTTGTCTGTTTAAGGGTCTGTATAGGTAAGACAGTAAACCACACCTCAAAGACAGAGGTAGAAACAGAAGCACCTAGACAGAATAAGGGATTGCAGAATTTCCAACAAAACTCAATTTTGCAGAAGGACAATATTTGACACACTAACCAATTCACACACTGTTACAAAAACATCACCCTAAACCCTACACCAGATGCACAAATAGTCTGCAGGTCTGATCACATTCAGAAGAGCCAGCTGGGTTCACAAATCCATGGTTTATTGAATGCAGCTTCTTTGGGATTGCTGGTGACAAAAGCAGCTGCTGCAGAATATATTGCACAAGTTTAATTTCCTGTGTCAACACTCAGCATAACTGACAACCCAAGACTAACCAAAAGGCATCATTTTTGTGGAGGGTGAGAAAGACAAACCTGTCATTCTGTCCCTTAAAATTTTGTGTCAAATTCTCATCCCCCACTGAGGTACAAAATTGTGGTACATTTTATACCTTATTAACCACTATTGTGCAAAGCACTGATGGTGGGACTGTGGTCAAACCTTCCACTCTCTGCATTGTATGGAATATTTGGAGGTGTACTTGGTTTGTACAAAACATTTCTGGGCAACAAGTGGAACACAGCCACATGGTTTCTACCCTCACTTCCCGTTCCTCCTCATGGCTGTGGCAACACAAACCACAGGACTCCGCCCAGCTTCTGTCATCCTGAGCTTTGCCCTCTCTTCACTGCTCCGTGCTTCCAACACACACCAGTGAGATGCACAGTTGGGGGGTATACTCTGTATTCTGCTTTACAGAAACAGTCTTAAATCTTCTTGAAACATAACCAGAGTGTTTTCTCTCAGATTACCATATCACTTATGAACAAACTTTTAGCTGAAAACAAACCGACATTTCCTTTTTAATATTTCTGCATGAACCACAGTTTGGGAACAACTGAAGTGAAAAAAGCTTTGAAAAAAAGGAACGAGAAGAGCCTATTGAGTGGGATTTCGATTTGCTGCACTAAGTAAATTTAGCTCACAAATATATCTGCATATATTTTCTCCTCTTTTCTTCACTCCTAAAAATAGTGGGTTTTTGGACACTGATTTGAAGGATGATAGTTAGAAGATGCTTTTTTTGTGGAAAAGCACGTTCCAAATATTAGTCAAGCATCCAACTGACTGTACTTCCAGCACAAATTTTTAACTATTTACACAGAAGTTTCCACAGTGTGACTAAATGGCACTGCCAGGAAAGAGCTGATGGTGGTGGAGAATGGAGTTCACACTGATCTAGCACATAGTCACCAGTGGTGCTCCCCAGGGCTCACTACTGGGGCCAGTCCTGATTAATGCCCTTACCAATGACATGGAGGAAGGGATCTGATGCCTCAGGATGATGAAAGAGAATGATGTGCTGGAGCATGTCCAGAGAAGGGCAGTGAAGCTAGTGAAGAGCTGAGAGAGATAAGAGAAGATGGCCTCAAGTTGCACCAGAAGAGATTTCTGTTAAAAATTCTTCTCTGAAAGGGTAGTCAAGCTTTGGAAGAAGCTGCCCAGGGGAGTGGTGGAGTCACCACACCTAGAGGTATTTAAAAGCCATGTAGATGTAGAACTGAGACACAGTTTAAGGGTGGAGTTGGCAGTGTCAGGTTAATGGTTGCACTCATCTTAAAGGTCCTCACAACCTAAATGATTCTGGGATTCCAGAAACCTCCAACACCACATTGCATTGAAATCAATGGACTACTGACTTTTCACATTTGTTTGAACTATTTCCTTACCTTTTTTTTTTAAATCATCCTTCTGGAGTTGTAAATCACCTTTTTAAAAATATGCTTAAGAAGGAAGGAAAAAATTTATAGAGAGGCAGATTCCTATCTATGTGACTCATTGCCATTCAACCCATAATTTACTTCAAAACTCCTTTTATCACTCTGGGGGAAATTCAGACTTAACAGCCAGTCTTATCTTAAGGCTCAGATGTCAGAAAGCACACAAGCCAGCTGGAATGCTCATGCACTGCAATTCTACGATTAGTTCAGTACTGAACTACAATCCAGAACTTAAACAAACTAAAATTCTGAATTTAATGGTAAAATCAGTGAAAAGGTTCCAATGATGTTAAAATGCACTTGTCAGCCAGATGCTGGTTCTACAGTTCATGTTCTGTTGAGGGAGTCAATTCAGTTTTCAGCTGTTTGCTGCCAAATATGTGCTTATTCCAGTAAATGCTACTGCTTTTTCCTAGGTAGTTTAATCTGTTAGAACAAAAGGCTGGGTCAAATCCACATCTTATAATAGAGGTTTCAAGAAGAACCTTGCAACTTTCTGTTGGATTTTTGAATTTATACCATATATTTTTCTCTGTAACTATGATCAAACATAAACTTTTTTAATTATGGGGAGAATATACTTCTTAAAAAAATACAAACTCCTCAAAACTAAACACATTTCAAACAGTCTGAAATGTGTATTTCAAATTATGATATTTATATTATTAATACTCAAATTATAATAATTACAATAATTTCAACATCTTGGATACAATTACATGCTGGCAATTCTTTTATGACCATCTATATGAGCGACAAAATGTAAAGTTGTTCTTTTGCACAAATGTTTGTTCTGTAAGAATCCAGGGCTTGAGGGGGTTTCTGCCTTATGTGCTCAAGACAAGAAAAATAAATTTAATACATTGCTATAGTAATAATTTTCTAATTAAACGGTGACAAAGAATTAACAGAATTTGCCCAACAGTACAGTACAATATTACACTACAGACAGAATGTTCCAAGCAATGCAGAAATACACAGAAAAATAATCATTGCTTTAAAAACTGAGAATTTACAAAGCTGTTTAACAACATTTTATTTTTTTAAATGAGGTTACAAAACTTAAAATGCAGTTAAATTAACTGATTGAGATCAAATTATTTTATCCATACAGGTTTATTTTGATCTGTTTAATACAGTTAGGGTATTGATGAAAAAGTATATTTCTTTAAAATCTAGGAATTTAGTTCACTTCTTTAAATTCAAGGAACTATTTTCTTTGGAGGAATTCGCATTAGACTGATTGTTACTTCTATGCAAAAATGATGCCATGGCAGGAATCCGAGCAAAGTAGCTTTTTGCCCGGATATGCTTTTGTTCTATTCTGTAAATAAATGGAGCTTCATAAGTCTGAAAAAAAAAATTTCAAATACCATAAATACAATTAAGATATCTAAAAATATATGTGTTACTTCATATTTTAGACATTATAAACATTTCAACATATTTTAGACATTATAAATATTGACCTTTTAATAAACTAAGGCAGATAATTTATTTGTATATATACATAATAAAATATTTTGTACTTCTATAGTACTATCTTATGGACCAGTAGTGAAAATTTCTCCTTGTGAAATATTAGTCGTGTTTTAAAAGCAGAGTAACTATTTTTTATCCATTCAAGATAAAATTTATTTATTTATTTATTTATTTCAGGTGAGAACATTTGTACTTACATTTGAAAATTAAATAAAGGAACACTCAGATAGCAAGATTTGCTAGGTGAAGACTGTAGAGGCATTCCTTGATAAGAATCAAAGTAGTTATTTTCAACTAATCATGGCAGCAAGTATTTTGCAGCATTTCAGTCAGCACTTGCATGCAGTGGTGACATTTTCCCAAATTCCTAGTTATTATTAGTAGTTTGGATGATGTAATAAATAACCAGAATGTTTAATTGAAAAAACATTTTTCTATTGCTGTAGTCATCACTTTGAATAATTGCTATTAAATAAAATCACTGTGAATAACTGCTATTGAACAAAAGGCTTAAGAGGCCTTTTTTGTTTTGGTGAATGAAAAACAATGATTCAACTTACAACATTCTATCTTTGCCTCATTTTCCTTATTTCACACTCTTCATTTTATTTTTTTGAAGAAGAAAGTTGAGTCCTCACTACAACTGATTCACATCCATATTTGTTGCAAGAGCTAATGAAAATACCTCATGGTTTTTATGTAGGCTTGTGTAGCTTAGCTGTTCTGACCTAACTCCCCCATCCACTGAAGCCCTGGACCTGATCAAGTCAATGGCATTTCTTTGACTATGACATCGAGACTCAGGGCATCAAACCAGAGAAGTGCTCAATCAGGATCTTTGCCTGCCATGATGCTGGTAATAAATTTATGGGTGCTGAGGAGCATCACTAGATTCAGATTGTCTGAATAGCCTTCTTGACTCACAGTGAGTGAGAGGAGCCAAGAAAGGGATTCCCAGCTTGAAACCAATTCTACCTTATAAAGCTAAAGCTCACATAAACGTGTCTGCTTGAAGACACACACTGGGCACTCACACACAAAATACAATGGATTGCAGAATTCCTTTTGCCTTTAGAATTCCCTGATATATTTCATCTGTAAATCAAACTTTAAAGAGAGCAAATTATTTGCTCTGTTTAGTTTGCTCTTAAGACTTCCAGAAAGAAGAGCAATACATAACAGCTAAAGCTGCATTTCTGATGCACACATATTGTGTTAAAAATTGAATTAAGAACACCCAAAACAAAAGAACACTAGGCAACAATGACTGCAGATCACTACTTATATAAATCAATAACCTGGAACTGAAAGGCTTAATAAGCCATTATTAAGTGCGGGACAAACACAACTCACAGGATTCTCCTGTGTCTTACAAAACTAAATACTCTTAATATTTTATGTTCAGTGGAGAGGTATTTCATAGACTACCATGTTTAGATATGGAATTTGGGAAGATTTGTGTAAAAATCCAGTTTTGATTATGAGTTTAACACAGTTCTAAGTGGTTTTAATTCAAAAGAGAAATTATGTTTCAACTGCTTAAATGCAAACTATAAGGTTACATTGTAAGGTATACCTAGCTGATATTCATGTAAGAAAGTAGTGTCCAATTTTATGATGACAAATGGACAAGTTATAGACAAGGAGCCATTCTTCTTTTTGATGAAAAATTTAGAAGACCAGAAACTAATGGGGCCAGAGCATGTGCAAGAGCACGGGCACACAATGGTCACAGTATTTGTGGTTAGTCTTTAGTATGCTTTTCATCCAGCCTAGCTCTTGTCTGGTCTGATCTGAAGGAAGAGAGAGCATGCATGGCACTGTTCTCAGCAGGCAGCATGGGTGAGGCCACTCAGCTTCTTGCATTTCAGGAGGGAGAATTGGGGCAAGACAGAGTTCAGGTACATGGAATGAGCTGTACACGCCAGATGCCTTCTGGATTACTCTCCATTCTGTTTAATAGCACAGATGCAATTATTTAAATAGTCACAATGAGCTAATTTAAAGATGGACAAGTATAAAGACTAAATTTGGCCCAACATAATTAGTGGCAGGATTCTACTAAAACTTAACATAAATACAGTAAAAAATAAAGCCCACTGAAATTTACCTTCTGAAGGTTACACAGCTTAAGATGTGCATCTGCCTCTTCTTTAGTGAGGAGAATAGTGTTCCATGGAGACCACTCACGTTGCTTATCCCACCTGACCATAACCAGCTCATACAGGTCACTGCAGGCACTGAGAGCTGACTGGCAGTTCCATATCTTCTCCATCAGGTACTGCATATCTGGAAGCTGAAATTGAAAACAGGGTTAAAAAGGAAAGAAGCATGTTTCATTCTACAAGTCTTACACCCATATAAAAATCCAAATAAAGCTTTGGGTTAAAAAAAAATTCTATGCACATTTCATATGATCACTTGGTTAAAGAGCATCTTCATATACATAAATACTTATTGCATAGTTGTTGGAACATCTGATTCTTTGACCTGTCAGCTAGACTTGTTTTAGTGTATAGCTTGCAAACCACCTTTTAAAGCACACCTATGTATGCTTCAAGAGCTTAAGAGCTGCTTCTTTATGGTGTGGAACATCACATATCAGAGGAAGAAGCTGTAGCTTTTAGCCCATTTCTCAATCTGTCCACAACATACAAAAAATAGAGAACATATAGTCAAAGCCACTGCTTACTATGAGTTGCAGTGCTCTTTCCAACAGTACCTGAACTAAGAAAACAATTTTACTATCATCCTGATAATCAACTTCAGACTTCCTGAGATCTTCCAGTATAAGTCTGTACTTGAAATATGATTCTCGTTTCCGAGCCTCATTATCAAGCTGGTAACAGGAGCGGCATCTGCCAATGGTGTGGGAACTTGCAGGAATGGGAAACTCAGAAGGTGGTAAGTACTTTTCACAGCTATGACAGAAGTAAACGTTTTTATAAAGCGTTAAGGGATCTTGTGGAACCTAAAAATTAAAGAAAAACCAAAAAAGTTAATTTACTACAGGGTATCTTTGTATTACTTGTATGCTCAAACACTGTAAGGATAAGTATTGCCTATCTTCATGCAAGTATTTTAATATGTAAAAGCTAGAAGTATTTATTTAAAAATACCCAATAAAGTGTGATTGTTCTTGGATAGGATACCAAGAGTAACTGTATTTTCTTACTGCATTTGCTAAAACCAATTATATAAATCAGTCAATTCATTTTTAAGCTATATGAAGATCCTAAAATTTATGTTCCAGTGCTCTTCCTGGTGCTTTTATGTATGCAGATTGTCAGTTATTCTGGAAAGATGACAACACAGAGAAAACAGAAACTAAATTCTCCACATTTGATTTTTCATGTAGAATCTGCCCTTTTTGGCAAAGATAAAACCCTGAGATTATGGGCATATTAACATTTTGGCATAAGAATACAAAATCATCAGACCCACATGTCCTCCAGAAACAACACAGGGGAAGAAAATAGACTAAACTTGATAGTGACCTCCTCATCCTCACACTCCTTCATGGGTTCTGAAAAGAATGTAATGTGGTCTGTGCAGATGGACCAAGTCTGTAACTGGATAGTTTGAGTAGTCTGATAATCTTCAGTGTCTGCTAATAAACCCAGTGTAACATTAACTGTTAGTTGGTTCTAAATCTGACATCTGCATCTACATCTGACAGATTCTCTACTCCTGAGATAACATTGACCACTGTATGAGGAATGCTCTTCTGATAGATGCAAAACAGACATTGCTACTTAGAGCAGCAACATATGATAGTGAATCATATTTTTATTTGTAATATGCAGTCAGAAAAGAAAAACACTCACACACTGGAACAGTTTTTGCTTAGGTGCAAACTCACTGGACATTGACATGGGCTATGCTGTTCCTTTCTGGATGCCCAGCATGCTGCCTCTTGACCAGTAGAAAAAACACAACTTCCTCTCTCAGTATATTGGTACTGCTTTGCTATTACATTTTACTGATACTATCCCATGAGATCTACCATTTATAGCTTTCAGATTTTTTATTTCAGACACAAGAGTTCTGGGCTCTCTCAGTGCTGCCAGCCACTTGTCAGGTGCTTATGACCCATGTCTATGCCCCATGCTTCCTAATAGGACAATATAAATTTATTTGTGTGAAACCTATGTACTTGCTACATTTTACTTCCTGAGGAACTCCTCCACAAATTCTACAGCAAAATGTAAAATAAAAAACCTTTCAATATTTTCCATCCCCCTTCTCTTTACTTCAATGGCCACTATGTCAGGCTGCAAAATAAGAATAATACCTTAATTAACCCAGCAACTTGAGGGTTAAACTCTGGAGTTTTGACATACTGGAGAAATAATGTACAAATTCTTTTCCTCAGTCCTTCCAAGTTGCATTCTTTCACCTCTCTTGACAAAAGATCAATTTCCCTGTCAATTAATGCCACTAATTCCTCGGTTAATTTACATTCATGTTCCTGGAAAAAAAAAAAAAGAGAGAAAAAGGAAAATCAACTGCACAATAAAGAAGCAAACAAACAAAATCATTCAACAAGACATGAAAGCAACCTATGGAATCTATGGACATTACCATTCATACCTCTGTATGTTCATATAAGAACATGTTCACAGAAGAACTCGTTAGTCTCTCAGGGAAAAAAATCTCCAGGGAAAGAACTGTAGAACTACAAAAGTGAGAATGCTTACAGATTCTGTTTTAAAGGGCCTGTATATGTAAACCAAAGCTGTGAGGAACTGTAAGCCTGGAAGCACTAAAAGATGCTTAGCACAGGTGTAATATAGATGAGTTTAAAAAAAATGCCACTAGAAAACCCAAAAAAATCCACCACACAAGAGGCATGGGGGACTTTGCCTGGAAATTAGTCACTTCAATATTTCCAATGCTTGGCAGGAGATTCTCCAGAGAGAGAGACGTAAGAGGTGAATGAGTTCAGTGATTTCTCAGGTAAAAGAGAGTGCTAATTTACAGAAATTCACTTGTTCACCACAGCAATATTGACTTGTGTTACAATGGGCAAGAGTTCATAAACCAGAAGCGTTCTCAATGCCATAGTGACTCTAAATCAAATACTGACACTGCCAAAACAAACAGCAAGATGCTTATTTGTTTTAATAAGACCAGGAAGCAGCATTCTATTCTAGGCTGATGTCAACAGTATCATCCTGAAAGGACCTTGAAACTCATTCTTTTTGTACATGAGTAAAAAAATAAAACATATATGAAAGACTAAAAAAAAAAATGCAAGCAGCTTCTAATTCATTGGGAACACTAGCAGCAACAGTGGCAGCAGGGAGTGGGGGGCAAAGAGAAGAAGAAAAAAAATCAGTATTTGCTACCCATAAAATTGGTAATCCAAACTAATAGATAGATAAGGTTCTACACAGATATTTCAAAGAACTGAGAAAAAATTAATAGTAGTTGCCACATATATCCCTGCCACAGCTCTCATAAGGTTGATTTTAAATAGGAAACAAAACTTTGTACTAAAATTGTATTATGTATTAATATACAAAGACATCTAAAACCCTGGGGTTAAAATTCTAACACAACCTGAAGACAAATATGCACATGATAAAGTGAAATATGAATTTAGAGTGTGTGTGGAATTTAAATTACACTCACACACCAGGTAGTACATGAGGGTCTCTAGCTCACCATCATGGCACTTGCCTGCCAGCAGCAGCACTGTTAATGAGTCAATTAAGGGATAGCACCTTTGGAATAAAAAGCTTCAAGTTAAACATAAATAGGAAACTAAACCTTACCTTCACTGTCCATTTGAGTGTTAACAGCACAGATATCCTCTCATCTTTTGGGATGTCCTTTGTGTTAATGCTGCGGTAGATTTCAAGCAGTTCTTTGCCACGGAGCGAGTTCGGTGTATCCATTTCAGTGATTTTTCCATCAAATGCTTTCCACCTCCTAGGTTGTGCACACTTCAGAAACAGTTTGTAGAACTCTGAGCTATTAAAATCTGACCACCAGCTGAACAATTGCATTATGTTACATCAAGTTTTATCAGAGCAAAGAGGAAGTTAACATTAATGCTTGACTAATGCAAAAGGCTAATTCTATTGCTGATATTGATACAGCACCTCTTCCACCAAAGCAAGCATTCAATTGCACACTTTATTTAAAGCAGCAGGTCATGACAATTTCAACTTACAGGATATTAAAAGCAAATAATATTCTCCTAAATGGATATGCTCTACTTCTTTAAAGTGAATTTACTGACAGTAGTGTTAGAATACATTTGTTCTGTATATCACTTTGCAGTCATAAATCCCATCAAACTATCAGTAAAAATCAATGGGTCTGTTGACTGTGTAAAGATTGAAAATTTGAGACCTTAAAGTCTACTGCAGTAACAAATATCTCCAGGGAACTGTTCTATTTGTACTAGTTGCAGAGAAGGATAGAAGGAATACAGTTTGTTAGAGCTGGGGCAAGGTATGTATTTACAGTTTACCAGACACTTCACCTAGCTTCTTGTTTGCCAACTTCACCACATGCCATATGCCTTATGCTTCAATTATCTCTTTGCACATCTTTAACTTTTATAGACAGTAACAAGTTCCATGATGTCACCTGCCCCACAAGGTCTGAAAAGTACAACCATTTTCTTCATTTTCTTCTTTCCAGAAGATGGATTTTGGATACAAATAACTGTTACATAAAGAGACAGGTGCCCAATTCCAATAGAAAAAGAGTTTTCAAAAGCCTCTCCCGTCATCACTTAACTCAATTTCCTTTTCTTAATGGGGAGAGGTACTTGAAACCTCTTTCTATGTTTCAATTATTCTCTTTCACTATATTTGGAACTTAAGTACTCACTAACACTCACGAACTTCACCTTGCAGTCTCAGTGTGACCTAGCAACAGGAACACTTTATGCAGTATTCACATGTCTAGTAGCTTTCTGGACAGGACCCCAGTATTGACACAGTCATTATTTTGATGAAATTGACTTGATATGGTGATAAGCAATAAAAATATCAAGAATATTAGATAGCTAGAAGAGATGTGATTAGTTATCACCACAATCAAAACTTTTCCTCACTTTTAAGTAAATAGTTAGGTAAGGAAAAGAAAGAAAAAATAATTTCAGAAAGGATTTAACATCAAATTAATGACACTTAATTACATTTTCAGTGGGGGTAGAAATCTAATTAAAGGAGATATTGTTAACCAGGGATCACATTTCACAGCCAAAACTAAGAATGCAATAGCAAAATCAGACAGTAGCTAAAAAAACCCCAAAACAACTAACCAACTCTTAATTACTTGGTGAAATCTTTGAATTTCTGCAAAACTTGAGCAAGGCGATTTTTTCTCTGTCATATATAGGGAGCATTCTATTGTATGTTCATTTTGTTTCACTATCTTTATACAATACTAGAAATTCTTTAAAAAACCCAAAAACAAAACCAAAACCCCACACTTTGCAAACAATGAAATTCAGACCAACCTAGAAGGTCTATTATGCTGGCAATCCTTTGTATGTTAGATTGGGACAAATCACTCTTTTCCATATAGTAGTTCATTCAATACCTACATTTGACCCTCTTCAAGGAAATCACTTACCATAACAGAGAAAGGTCATTTGCTAATGCTAGAAAAAATCAATGGCCAGGGTAGACCCTAAGAAATAGTCAGTAAAATTAGATTTTTCTGATAATTTGCAAACCCAATAGGTGCAAGTAAACTTGGTAACCCATTCTTCAAATGACCCTTAATACAGACCAATTCTGTTATTATAATTATTTCTTCAAAAATAAATCTGTAACTTCTGTATTTTTTCTTACTACTTGATCATAGCTGGGTATTACATAAAAATTTTAAAATGGAAAAAAAAATATGCAGCCTTTTACTGAAAAAAGAAAGAATCACAAGTTCTCTGGTTTCAGGACTATTTTTCTGTACTCCAGACTGACAAGAGAAAAACTAAAACTTTGAGATCTTCTGCCAGCTTTCTCTTGTCTTTTAGTCTGCTGGCAGTGCTGTGGAATTTACAATAATCCTGTTATCTGTATTACTACAACTACACTCTGCTGCCAATGTATGAAAGCAGAAAAGGCGCCTGAGGAAACACACCACCACAGAGAGAGAGAAAAAGGTGAGTATAATAAAAAAAAATCCATAGGATGTGTGCAGAAATAGTACAAAACATGAAAGGTATGAACTGAGTGACAGTTAATAGTTACACAAATTTCTTTAAGTCAATATGATTGCTGTACAAAAGCTTAATCAAATACTTCCTCTCCAAAGTACAAAAGCTGAAGAAGAACGAGTTCAACGTAAAGAACCCCCTAGAACATAGGGCACACACCACCAGTACCAACCTTCATAAGGGCACACATGCCTGTGGAGGTACATGCTTAAAGTAGCAAAGAAGGGAACAAAGGTTTCCATGGAGAAGCAACTTTCATGCCACATTGGCTATTGCAGCTTGCAGTCTTCAGATGTGAAAGATATTATTGCAGCTTTAACTGGCAAGTGTCCAGATCAACATTGCCAGCTCAAAGTTCAAGAAAAAACAAATTATCCCTAATCAAGCACTCAAAAATAAATTTCATACTGTAATTTAAAGTGCCTAAATTGCACTGTTACAGTCATAGCAAACCATCCATCTAATTTTGAGATTTACAAAATTATATTTATCTTTTATAAAAATACAAAAATTTTTACTTTTTCTCCGAGTTAGAACTATCTATGTCAACAGTTTAGAACAACACTCAAAATCCTACAGCTAACATATAAAAAACATGAAACATTGCACTAGTTCAGAAGCTCAATAAATTTTAAAACTAAAAAGATTACAGTCCCTTTCATGAAAAGCATAATTTATACATTTAAAGTAGGAATAAATAAATTATTAGTGACTGCTTCAGGAAAAACAGTCTTTCCACTTGTCTTTCCACTGTTTGGAAAGACAAAATATCAGTTGTCTCTGATGTGTCTCCTGATTCTCCAAACATCAACTGTCACTGAGAGTTCTTGTGCTGAAGAAAGTTTAGCTTCTGATTCTAGATGTAAGAAAACTGTACAGCTTGTCAGAATATGTGCTGGAAGCAATCTGTACAGGTAGGACACTGGAAATCAGTCCTTATGGAAAAGTAAGGACAGAGTCAGTTAAAAGTGAAACATATTTGCTTTGACTGTTCCAGGCTTCTTTTTCAAAGAAGGTAACACAACAGATTGTAAGTAGAAGAAGCAAACGTTAAACACAGAAATGATTCAAGGCTCTGAAAATAATCCTAATTATTTGGTTTAGTGGGGTTTTTTTTCATTCTTGAAAGCAGTAAGACAGAAAACAGTCATTGCACAGCAATAAATGTGGTAATAGTTCCACCAACATTTCAGATAAGAAACTTGTTCATAATGAGAAATGTAATACATTTTATCAAATCACATTTAGAGTACAGTTCCCCAGCATCATTACTAAAAAGAATGCAAAAAAGTCTCTTTTGGACAAAACCACCATTTCTACTTTTGAACACTCAATAGTCAAATTTTTAAAATAATAATACTAAAAAAATTAGATAGCTAAAAACCATTTCTGTGGCAGTATTTCTTTTCATAATCATGTAATATATTTTGAAAATAAACTATTACTTTTTTCCAATGGCTGGACCTCTACCTAAAAGGACAAGCTTTTTTTGTATTTTACATTAAGATACCACTGAATTTAATGCCAATTTAAATAATTTTTGTGAATTAAAGAATTCTCTTTTTTTTTATAAAGACTGAAGAACACTTCCCTTAATAATCATCCCCAAGATTATACAAGAATGAAATCTCAAGTTCTAATGGAACTAAAGTCAGTGATTTAATAACTGAATTCAACATCAGATTCAAACTCTTCTTTATACAGGGAAACAGAATAAATGCTTTCTTTAAAGAAAGACATATGATGACCAGAGGCCTATACTCATTTAGGAAATAAATGACAAATTTACTTCCTGAAGGATAACATTTATTATTATTATTATTATTATTATTGTTATTGTTATTGTTATTGTTATATTTTTATTATTTTTATTATTATTATTAACATATTTATTATTATTATACTTATTGTTATAATTAATTATATGTATTGTTTATACTTTTTATAGGTTAACAGCATTAATAATCCACTGTTCAACCTTCAATTGGTCTGGTAGCTATGAAATTCTCAGCTTGGAAAAAAGAAATTTACTAAATTGTATTGACATGAACAACCACATAATTTGGATATTTATAACGTTTGCATTCATATGATTAACTGTTAAAAACTACAAAAGGTATTTTTGTACTTTGCAGGTGTATTTTCTATTCCTGTACTTAGATATTCTTTATGATCAGAATTATTACTGACCTTACCCAGAAAGTGCAGTATTGCTTTTTGTTGATTCTCCAGATTGGCACTTAGTTTGTGCATCCCAATGCAAGCAATGAGCTCTGTCTCTTCTTCCAGAAGTGCAAAAAGTGCTGCCTTTCTTTTACCTCCAGTAAGAGTTCTGTTAATTCGCTCAGTCTCCTCCTGCATCCATACTGCAGATACAAATATTGTTACTTTCCAGCAAAACTTCTGCTTCATATTTAAGAAACAACATAATCGACTTTTCTTTCAATATTCACTAAAACTCAGTTTCCATTTTAGGGAGTTGATGTTATAGCTATTTTCAATACATGCAGATGGCCTAGAAATGAATGTAAATTATACAGATGTTCTGTGAGAGTATGTGTGTGTACATCAATTCCAGACTGCCAATTTGCACTCCAAACTCAAGGATGAGTAGGAGAAAAAGAATCTGTATGTGAGAAAAAGATCACATAGGTGGAAATGGATGATGAAATGGCTGCATCTTACTGTGGTACCACTAGTACCCAGTGCTGAGAATATTACTGCTTCTCCTTGCATAAATGAGTAAAATCTAAAGAAGCTTGAAGTCCTCCAAAACTGAGATAAAACTTGACTGACAGTCACATTTAGCACTTCAGGTTTTACACTGGATATTGCAGTGGTATCACCTTTTGCCATCCAAGGCAGATGAGAACACATTAATAACTTGACAGTCACTGCTTTACTCTCCCTTTCCTTTTCTATAACACAACCCTTCAAGTGGGTGAAAGTGGCCACACAAGAAGCCACAGGAGGTGATGACAGCAGCACATGGATCAGTACATGCTATATAAGGATCTGACCCCCTGACACTTTTGCTGCCAATATAGACACTGCGTGGATTTAAAGAAATCTGCCTGTAAAATCAAACTGTGTTTACTGCCTTTGCATATCCCATAACAATTCCTGGCTTCTCTGAAGAGTCTGATCTAGTTCAAATACCTCTAGGGTTTTGTAGGGAATTTTGTAAGATCCAAAACTTCAACATTCCTGAAGAATACCTCAAAGTATTGTTATCATCCCAGAGCAGTTATGCAAAAGCAAAACCCAGAGTAAAAGGAAACCATTCAATATGTGAGGCACTGAAAAATTCTGTAACATCCTGGATCAGGTAAGACTAGAGGCAGGAGGAGGGAAAGGAGGAAGGCTTATTTTCTGCCTGTGGCTTCTTATCTACAACACCTTGTTTTCCATTTTTAAATATTTCAATTCATTTCCTTAAGGCTCTCCAAGCTGTAACATGACAGCTGTCTGCCAAGTTCTGAGAACCCCAAGATATATATTTTAAATACAGCCAATTCACCAAACAACAGCATTATACAGAATGATTTACATGAAGCTTTATTATGCCTGAAGGGGGCATAATAATGCCCCCCAGCAACTTCTAAGGTGGAGCAATAAATACAGGAAGCAATTTTATACATTCAGAAATGAAAAAGCTGCCACTTACCATTGATATTCACTTCTTGATTCCCCATTTACCTGCAACCAATCTAATCTCCTCTTAGATTATCTGTTCTGCAGATTATCTGTCTGCAGAGATTTTACTCATTACAATTTTTGCTACACTGTTTATAAAGTAAAATAGCTCATACTTTTCAAATAAATAATAAATGCCTATGCAGACATGCTGCATATATAGATAGACCTCATTTGCACTATATAGTCAATAGTTCTTGTACCACCAGGAATTGCTTGTACTGACTGACCCTGTAATAGTAACCCTGTTGTGATTACAGCAATAACCTTCACAGATCCCTGGAGGACAATAGTCTCATTCTATTACTGTCACAATGATTTAGCTTGTGTAAATTGTTGGCACTATAAGAATGCAAAATTGTTGCAGATGCAGGTAGAAAAAATCTCCAAGTTCCTAGAATCATTAAGCTCTATTAAAATGAAGAGCATGATTGCAAATCTCCATGTAGAGAAGCAACTAGCCAATACCAGTTAACAAAAACTAAACAGTGAGATTGATACCAGACCATTATTGTTAATAAAATAGTACAAAAAAAAAAAATCATTTCAAATACTGGAATTTGTTCTGTTCTGAAGTGGCACATGTTTTTTTCAGGTTGACTAGATATGAAATTTCTGAACATGCTTGGCTGAAACTTTTATTATTTGTGAATCCAAAGTCATTCAATTAAGCTAGAGACACTTGCATAACCACAAGTTTCAAATCTAAAAATATCATGAAGATCAGCACTCTTCCATAACTTCAACAGAACTTACTTGCTTCTACTGCAAGTAAGACTTTTCACACTTAAAAAAGTGAAATAGTAAGACTTCTCATAAGTGGCAAGGAAAAAAGTCCTATTTGAGTACCTTGGCTTTTGATACAGATACAACTTGAAAAGGGCTTGATTCTTGGGAAGTGAAAAGCAAACTATCTACACAGAAAAAGGGGGGGGGGGGGGGCGGCTAGACAACCTCAAACAAGCCACAAATCTCATGAAGATACTATTCCAATAACTGCAAAGCTCAAGACAAGGAATAATTTTTACATTCGTCACGAACAGTGATATTTCTAAATCATTTATTAATTCAGACAAAGCCATTTGTTCAACGCCACACAAAGTATGACAGCCCTAAAAGATTAGTGTATAACTTGGGAATTTTTGAATCGTGATGCTAAGCTCTATGAATAACACATGCCATCAAATTTATGCTCAGTTTACCACTGAAGAAAGAGCTGAGATGGTTTATGGTAGGGCAGGTGGCTTTGCAATGAAGTAGGTCATCTCTTAGGTCAGCTCTGCTACAGGGACAACAATATCCTAACTGGCAAAGAGCTAGACCATAAAGCACTGTAGCTGAGATAACATAAGAATTGTTACAAGTTACAGTACAAACCCCTGGCTTTAAAAGAGACATTGTAAAAAAACAAAATTTGTCTTGCTGTTTCATTATATGCTGCTACAAGTGCACAGCTTTTGAATGTTTTTGTTTTTCCAAAGGAAATACTCTAAGTTTTTTGCTCTATTTGCACCATTACAATCTTGTAAGGTTTTATGTCAATTATCTGCAGCATTCACATTATTTTTCTGAAGATGTTTAGAGATGCTTGCCTGTATTAAACATCATGTACTCCAAGAACAGGAAATGTATGACTTTCAGAATATCCTGCAGAACTCCTAAGAGATTTTTAAAATGTTGACAACACAGTTTTATGAAGCATGGAATGAACTAGGAAGGAGAAAAAGCATCAGTAGAGGACAACTAAGACAAAAAGAATAACTTCTGTCATATGCTGTAAAATTCTGTACAAAAATTCTTCAGCATCTTAAATGTAGAGTGAAAGATAAAAGCAACTCTGATCTAAAAAAACACCCTTTTGTTCTTCTAGCTGACCTTAACTGTAGACATAAATAAAAAATGTTAATAAAACTGCCAAAGAGCACTCTTCTACAAGCCAGTTGTTTCTAAAAAAAGGTGTACTGGTTTTGGCTGCAATAGAGTTAATTTTTAGTCACAGCAGCTTGTAAGGTGCTGGATGTTGATAACACAGGGATGTTTGGTTATTGCTGAGCAGTGCTTACAGAGCATCAAGCTCTTCTTCCTGTTTTGTAGTAATACATGAAAGTAAAATAATTATTTTGCAATGAAAAAGATTCCACTGTCAAGCAGAAAAAAAAAATCCATAAAAACATGTAAAAACCCTAAGTTTGTTTTAAACAAACTGTACTGTTTTGTTGCTTTAAGGATATCCCTTTAAGAAAACTTACATTCCAAGTCATGGTAGAGTAGCTCAAAGTCTTCTCTTGTTTTAGGGTTCAGTTTTTTCTCATACTCTCTAATCAATTTTTGTTCTTTCTCCCATTTTTTCTGTAATTCTTCTTGTGCCTCCTGTGCCAGCCTTAACCTCCTTTGCTCCTTCAGATTTTGTACTAAATATGCAGCATGCCAACGACGGAAATACTTCTGTATTACTATTACCTATATGTGATACAATACCAAAGAATCATGAATTTAAAATGAAACAACATAGTATTTTGAAGTGTAGTATTATTTATTAACTCTTCTCCAGCTCCCTAACTACATTTTCTAAGATTTTTCTTGTACTGAAACTAATTGAAATGTTACAAAATCAGTCATGTACTGTTAGTTTAAGCACTAGTATGATTACTCAGTTAGGTAACTGCAGTAATTTAACCAGTGAATACAGTGGATAAAATAGGTTCAAATAATCAAATCAAAATATAAACTACATTTAAATATCCATTTTTCTTTTTCAAATCTCCCCTTAAAAATGTATTTTGCCATGCACTGTTTTTATTCTTTGCCTTATCTTACTGCCAATTTACAGAGTGGAAATGTAGACACATTTGCAAAATTTCTTTTAAATTTCTAGTTACAAAAATCAACACTTAGACACAACATCAACTGCATTTTATTTGTGAACAAATAATGAAAGCGAAATTACTAATGCTGTTATGACAGAAATGAAAAAAGAAAATTAAATCATCGACCTTGCCAAGCTGTGGCTATTGAGGACTGGGGAAATGTCTACGATATGTTAAGGGAGGATACTGCACAAGCCTCACCTTCTGCTGGCTGTTGCACTACAAACAGTTCAGTCAGATCAATGCCTTGAGGTACCAAGCACTATTCAGCATCAAAAGCTATCAAGCACAAAATCATACTAATACAGTCACACTGTCTCTGGTAATATTTTAATCTAAAACTTCTCTTGAATATGTCTTCAAACAGTATTTCAATATGGACCTATACTGCACTGGGCAAATCCATCAATGTGAATGAACACCAAGCTGACCACCATCTCTCTACTATGTATTATCAATTACCTATAGACACATTATAGATTTCCATAAGGGTCACTAAAGACCACAGTAAAACATATTGGTAGTCCTGAGGAAATTACTCCCTACCTGGGTTCCACTTCTACAAGATGCACATTGCCATCAGCTACAGCTGAGCAATTTAAGAAGTTCTTACTCTCACAGACATATTTTAGGAAAAGTCCTTTCATTAGGATCTTTTCTCCTGAGAAGCTGAGAGGCCTCAGAAATGAAATGTAAACAATAATTATCTGCTGCTGTGGAATGCAACAGGTGCATCTTTGATTGGTCTCATGTGGTTGTTTTTAATTAATGGCCAATCACAGTCGAGCTGTCTTGGACTCCCTGGTCAGTCACAACATTTTATTATCACTCCATCCCTTTCTATTCCTTTCAAGCCTTCTGATTAAATCCTTTCTTCTATTCTTTAGTGTAGTTTTAATATATCATTTTCTTTTAATATACTATATATCATAAAATAATAAATCAGCCTTCTGAAATATGGAGTCAAGATTCTCGTCTTTTCTCTCATCCTGGGACCCCTGCGAACACCACCACCTTTACAAGAAAACTTCTGCCCAGAAAACTTCAAATACCTTACCAACCATGTCAATACAATTACCAATACAATTATTCTACTTAGACATTTGGGGAATCAACTGTTTCTCCATTCAGTTGGATTCAGACTGTCTATTTTCAGCAATCAAATTAATAACTAGAGCATTTACAAAGCAATGCCTCATCTAACACAATTTAGGTCAGACTTTAGTTAGATGTGCAGTCACAGAACACATGGTTTCCAAAAAGCAGAGTGGAAGGCCTAAATGGCATCCTCTGCCCAATGAATATGCAGAATCTGTAATCTGAATTGCCTTCATGAGGCAACTCAGTGCACCAGAAAACCCCACAGACCCACTGCCTGTGTTTGAACAGCCCATTTCTACTTTAGTGTCAAAGCAGGGAGCTTGAACAGAATCCAAATGGATCAGCTTGCACAAGGTAACCTACTAAGTCTGATAAAACCCCAACCAAACAGACAAGGAACAATAGATTGTTCTCAAAACTCAAAAGCTTGAATGCAGATCTCCTAAATCCTAACCCAATACTGCATTTATTTCAGGCCATACATTAAGCATGTATCTTAGGTTATTCCAAAGAGATCATGAGAATGTTGTAAGAACAAGCCTGCTTTAATCCTTAATGCTCTACATGGGAACGTAACTGTCACTGTGAGACAGAAAACAATAATTTCATAATTCCTAATATTTAAGAGATTGCAAGGTATCAAATGTCACTAAAACCCTAGAGCAAACATGCACTTCCTCTGTAACTGAAAGATCACAAAAGATAAGCATAAGAAGACATTTTACAGTTCACTTTTAAATTCCGTCTTTGAACACTCTGAACACTCATTAAATATTCAGATAACCTTCACAATTCATTATTTTCCAGATAGTTTCAAACAGATAAGGACTTACTGCTTCAAGTCTACGTTTATGGTATTCCTCTGCTGTAAAATACTTTCCAGGAGTTATTAGTTTGTCAGTCATGTTTGATACATAAAGGCCAGTTTTAGTCATCTGTGTTGATGTTGTATTTCTTGTTTGTTGTTGGGCATTTTTTTCCACAGCCGTCTGGGGAAAAAATGCATGTCAGATTAGAAGCAAATACACAGAGATTTTTTTCCTCATTACAGTAAGTGGCAAAATTAGCTATTTGCAATAAAAATCACAAGAATAATTATATTTATCTAATAAATACTTTCATTTGCACATTTATCTCAGATTTATTTCCTCTTTCCTATTAGAAATAGTGCCAGCATTCTATTCCATTTGGTAAAAACAACATTCTAAAGGGACATTACAAAGCCTTTACCTGTGTTCCCCTACAAAATAACTGAATTCCTTTGTCAGGTCGTTTTTTGGGTTTTGTTTGTGATCCTGCATTATGAAATTCCACTCCTGTTGACACGTTCCTAAATCCACCCAGAAAAGGTTTCTTGTAGGTAGGTCTTTCAACTTTTACAACTACTTCTTGAAATGAATCTGAACCTGTTAAAAGGGAAGTTCCAAAATATAAATATTGCTTATTTCAGTAACACATCTAGATTAGATCATATTTACATATGTATTGACAAATGTGCAAAAGCAGCATTTACCTGTTTCTACTCTGACAGTTAAGACATCAGGCATGTGGTAATCCTGTTGAATGACTTCTCCAGGGAAACATTCCTGATTCTCAAAGTTAGGCCAAGTCTTCCAAGATGTTCCATTATCCTTAATCATGCTTACTAAAAATAAAACCAAAATTAATTCCTGAGAAGCTTCTCAAAACATACAAAAAACTCTTTCAACTTTAGCCCAGGATGATTTTATTGTAACACTGCAACACAGCATAACCATCGTTTTTTCAGCTAAAAGACAGTCTATTTGAAAGCTGAAACGGTATTATCATACAATTTTAAAGGTGGTATCTAATGTAATACTGCCACCACATAAAGATATTCCTAGCCAGCTTCTCAGAATGAGAGCAGATGAATGCAACCTAGCCAAGAGGAAAGTAGTCAGCAAGTCCATACGAGGAATTGTTATTCACTGTGCTCAGCTGCTGAACAGGATATGCTGTGTTCTGCTCTGAAGAACCACGCAAATGTGGTCCTGTATTAGGAAGTGACTGAAGACATCCAGAACACTGAAGAACAGGTGTAGGAAATGATGGATGATTTGGGAGGCTGCAGGAGAAAGACACGGATAAAAGAAGGGTGGCAGGCAATTTATAGGGGAATCTAAGAAAGGTAAAATAGTAAGGTGATTTCTATAATGTTGGCTAGACTGGTAATTTAAATGCACATACCAAATATGTATACTTATGCATACACATTCCTGGAAATAAGAATCATTCTATAAAATGCCATCTAGAAATGACTACTACAGTTTGAGATAAAGAATACATTCCTTACCTTTGGACTATGTTTCAAATGAGAATTTAAAAAGTTACTGCAGGACCAAATCTCAGCAAGGATAAACAGAATGAGGGTGTGTGGGAGTGCAAGAAGCTATAAGCAAGTTGAAGAAAAAATATCTCTTTAAACCATTAATACCCAACATTTTAACTACTTCTTTACCTGTCATTGTCCCCTTTTCTGTACTGTCTGGTAGTACTGAATTTTGAGAAGGAGACGGCTGGTTCCAGCCCCTCTCTGATTGTGCAGTGCCTGCAGGTTCAGGGAGGGGAGGCTTTTCTGCTGGATCCCCATCCTCTCCGACTGCTTTTCCTTGTGAGGGTGCAGGTGATTGCTCTGCACCTGATCCTTCTGATGTAACAACTTCAAAGCCATCTGATCCACCTTCCATTTCCTAAAGCATCAGTTGCATGCTTTTAACCTTCCTGCAAGAATAATCACAGGATCTATTATAAATTGCATACTGGCACATTTCTACTACCAGAATGATGTCCTGAAAAGCTTTTCCTGTATCTAATCCCAAAAGGCCTATTGAGAACAGCACGAAATCTTTGCTTCCACCAAACAGAAAGTTGGTGGCTGGTGTTTACCAAACGTAACACTCCAAGGCAGGTAGCCGGCACAGTTCTTTTTACCTCTCGTTCTCTGCCTACAGAACAAGATGGTCCGAGGGGTCATTACCTAGAGACAGCACACCTTTACGGTTTTCCGAGTTGCCACCGAAATTATACGGGCTGGAAGAGTCCTAAGCCCAAATTCCTCAGCATAGAACCACAACCAAACCCGCAGGATCCGGGACGCAGTAGCTCCCAGCGGGAGCCCGGGGACGCCAAACCGCTCGGGCGGGCGGGCCCCCGGCACAGTGCGCACCGGGGCCGGGGGTGCGGCCGCCGCCGGGGGCACGGCTGGGACCCCCGCACCCACCCTCCCGCCCCTGTCCCTGTCCCGGTCCCTGTCCCGGCACCTCCCGGCCCGGCGCTGCGGGCAGGCGCTGCTCGGCCCGGCGGCGGCGCGGTAGCCACGGCAACCGGCCTGGGGAGCAGGAGCGTGCGCACTGGGGAGCGGGGCCGGGCCGGGCCGGGCCGGGCGGGCGGACTGGGAACGCTCCGGAAACCCGCCGGGTCGGGAAAAGAGGAAAGGGAGGCGGTGCGAAAGGACGAGCAAGTGCCTTGCTTCCCTCCAGCTACAGCAGCTGCACGAACCCGTGCTGGCCTGGAGCGGCCCCAGTGCCGGCACACCCGCAGGGGCCGTGCCCGCGCTGTGACCCTGAGCAGCGATGAGAGCTCGTACCAGCCCATAGCGGCAGCAATGTACGAAAACACCGTTTTTCCTTATATCCTTATTCTGTGGGTAATAGCAGAAGTTGTACTAAAGCCCCAGAACTCTTGGATATCGAGAAAGGGTGTTGTGTGTGAGTGTTGGCAGCCGCCGTGCCACTCACCGTCCCTTCCGGGCAGTGTGGCAGTGCCTACCCGTGACATGGCTTGTGCCTAACCCTGCTGCTCTCCTGGAGGGACGGTGCCCTGAGGACTGAGGCTGGCAACTGGAAATTAAAGACTTGCAAAACAGAATGAAAACCATACGAAATTGGATTTCCTGGTGTTTGAGGTGCCATTCCTGACACAACTCCTGCAAATGTTTTCAGCATGCTACAAGAAAACCAAGCGGACAGTCACATCACAGAACTTTCAGATGTGAAATACACAGTTCTGTGTTGCAATTCCAAGACAATCCTGAAAAAAGCCTTTCAGCAGTCATTGAATTCAAATGGATACTCAATAATTGCATGCCATGATCACTGTTACCATGTTTCCCAGACATTGTTTGGCACTTGAACGTGGGCCTACTCCGCATCTAAAGGACAGAAATTTCCCATTACTACTACTAATGCTGTTTTGTATAAAACCTTGTTTGAACTCCCAGAATAGGATCACCATTAATTCTGTAGAAAGATACTGCCATTTGTGTCACTTTGTCACTGTTATATAGTTGATTAAACATTCAAGCTCATTTTCAAGTTGCAATGATTTTTCATTTTTTCCCTAATGAAATAGCATATAAGCTTTGAATATTAAAATAATAAAAAGCAGCTTTCACTCATCTCCCATTGGTTTTGGTTTCAGGTTCAGAACACAGCCACTTGGGATAGGCTAAGCAGCACAGATGGCAGGCTAGGAATTACAAAAACCTCAGTACTTGCCCTGCTCTCACGATGGGAAGGTTATTTTTGTTATAAAAGGCTTTGTCTCTGCTAGGTCCCATCCTTGCAGATAGACCTCTTTTTTATTGACATGACTTCAATCAGATGATCTCAAAGTGTTTTAAAGATCTAAACTTTGTTAACTCTACAGCTTGCAGCAATTTACCTTACTACAGATTATAAAATTACATTACAACAGATTATAAAATTGTTTGCATCATCATGGATTTCCAACAATTAAAGGAGAGAAATCAAGCAACATCATTAGTTAGCCTTCAAATTATACCTTGCTAGCATATTCCTCTTGGGATAAATTAGGACCTGTATGGAGGAAACAGATGTGCATTTGTGAAAGGAAGATGAGAGTATGTTTTCATTTGTGAAAGTCAGTTTTAAAAGGCTATATATCAAATTTCAGCTGCAGTGGGCCATGAAAAAAACTTCCTCTCCCCTGGAGGACAATTAATGAGCTTATAGGAGAGCTCTTTTAAATCACATGATAAATACATCTTTAGTAGTAGAGGAAATAACTGAACAAGAAGAGAGTACAGCAGATGTCTCAGGTACAGAATAGTAGAAAGAATTCCAGTAGTTGCTACCATATTCTGCAAACTTTCCTTCACCCCCACACCTCCAGTATTTCATATGTCTATCATTTATACTAGACTTTGTTTATTGTGGGTTTTTTAAAAATTTATTTTGATTTCTCTCAGGTCAGCTCAATACTTATTACCAAAATCCATTAATTTTCATTACTCATGTGACAGCATTGGCCCTCATTCAAGTCTGTAATCCCTTACAATTTCTCATGAGAAAATTGTGTTTGTTGACTTTAGCAAAGTCCTCTTCTGGAATGCCATCTAGTGGTTTTACTTAGGAAAAGACCAGCTTCTATCTTAGTCAAGACTGAAAAATCCTTCAAAACCAAACTATAAAACTAAGTATTTTTCACTTCTTAATTTTTCAAAATTTAAAATATTTATGTAATTATAGTAATGATAGTTGGGGGGAAACCCCAATGCTAAAGAATGCAGTGAAAATAGTTTCTGGAGGGAATACCTTGGGAATACTGGTTTTCTCTCCTATTGACCTACCCCCAAATACCATTGCATAAAATATAAATTTGTAATTAATTAATTTATAATAATCATGTCACAAGTAAATTTATAAGCCTAAAAACTATGAAAAAACAGCTATGACCAAGTATGATGGGTAATGTAACTAGTGCATAAACAAATGCTTGTTAAACTGCAGATTTTTGTGATATAGCTATATTCCTGTCTTTAAACTTGCAGGAATGTTGCTAGTGGTCTTGAAAAAAAACATCAGTAAAGGCAAACTTGCACAGGACCCTTAGATCTAGTTTGGATATTTTATTCAGGATTTTAAAGATTAACTCTCTAAACACAAGCTTTCAAAAGAATCACAGAATATCCTGAGTTCCCAGATCACAGAATATTCTGAGTTGGAAGGGGCCTGCAAGGGACCATCAAATCCAGCTCTTAAATGAACGGCCCATCCAGGAACTGAGTCCACACCCTGATGTGATTAGCCCCACACTATAACAACTGAGCTAATCTCAGTGCTCAACATCCTGTAGTTGAAAAACATTTCCTATAGCAAACCCAGACTCCTCGTGATACAGCTTCATGCTGTTCCCTTGGGTCCTGTCACTGCTCACCAGAGATGAGTCCCTGCTCTTCCACTGCCCCTTGTGAGAATGTTGAAGACCACAATGAGGTCTCCCCTCAGTCTCCTCTGCTCCAGACTAAAGAGGTGACAGCCTGTCCACTGACCTCAGCCACTCCTCATATGGCTGCCCCTCAGGGCCCTTCACCAGTTTCCTAGCCCCCCTTTGGACACTCTCTAAAAGCTCTTCATCTTTCTTGTGGTGCCCAGAACTGCCCCAGCACTCGAGGTGAGGCTGCCCTAGAGCAGAGCAGAGCAGAGCAGAGCAGGACAATCCCCTCCCTTGCCCAGCTGGCAATGCTGTACCTGATACACCCCAGGACAGGACTGGCCCTCCTGGCTGCCAGGGCACTGCTGACTCACATTCAACTTGCCATTGACCAGGACTCCAAGTCTCTTTCTGCAGCACTTCTTCCCAGTATCTCATTCCTGTTTCTCAGGAATGTTGCTTTCCAGTGCCTCAGTCTGTTGCTACCTCCAGGGCTGCCCCATCCCAGTGGAGAATCCAGCACTTGTCTCTTTAACTTCCCGTGGTGATGGCCCATCTCTGTAATCTGTTGAGGTTTCTCCACAAGGCCTCTCAGCCTTCGAGGGAGCCAACAGCTCCCCCCTAAGTAGTGTCATCAGCAGATTTACTGTGAATCCCCTCCTGTCCCACATCTAAGTTGTTAATGAACACACTGAGAGCACTGGGCCTAAGATGGAGCCCTGTGGGACCCAGCTGGTGACTGGTGGCCAGCCTGATGTCACCTCATTTCCTGCAACACCTAACACTCAAGATGTGAATCAACAATAGACCAACATAAGCCTACACAATGGCTCCTGAAGATGCCAATGCCAAGGTTTGTGCTGCAGTGTTATGCCAGGCATGGTAACTACCTGTTAACAAGAGACCTGCTGCTGCCATCAATCTGAGTAGCAGTCTTCTTTCTTCCTCTCACCTCTCCAATTTTCCCAGTACCTCCCACAAACCAGAAATCGTATTTAGTTATGTGAGCAGTAGGGTCAACCAGTTCAGGACAGGGATTCAGCTGAAACTTAAAATCCTGTTCTTTTTGGGAAGCATTAGTTCCTCACTGCAGCATCTGCATGGCCTTAAGGATCTTGTCAGAGGGTAGCAAAAATACATAGCCAAAGGTGGGACAAAATCATCACACTTTTCTACAACTTGGATTTTGATTTCAAGTGGCCTATAATATCTGTATTTTTAACACAGAAATACAGATTATAAAAAAGACTCAGCATAAGACACAAGTACCCTGTTAATAAAAAATGCCAAAAATTAAATAAACAAAAGGTTGTAAGAATGCCAGAAAGAATTTTCTTAAAACCCCTTTTCCAAGAAATTGGCAGCAGCCTTTAGATTGCTGAATTAAGTGGACAAAATATATTTTAATGAAGCGATTACCTTTAATTTAAAGACAACTGTCAGTAACAATAGGTTAATAATTAATTTTTTCTTTTTACTTTCAAGAGGTTACACCATTTTGAAAATTATATTGGCCATCTCCACTGATTAGAAGGAGGTTCTTCAACTAGAGGCTCCCATGGTTTCCACTGTATCATTTTTCTTGCCAGGGACAGCTCATTTTCAGCCTGTTGATAAACACCATACACAAAGTTTTAAATATTATACAATTGCCAAAATATTAAATTACCTCTATGTCAGTTAATTACCTCAGTGATGTTGCTATCTATCATGATCACAGACTACACAAATTTCACCTATAAATATCAAAGGAACTGTATGCTTTTGGGGGTTGTTTTTTTTAAAAAATCCCATCACCCTAAATACCCAAACAGACATTCTGTTTAGAGAGACATTCCCAATGACAACTTCATGATATTTTCCACTTGGTTTGCATTACCCCAGTATTATTCAATCCTCTCCTGCCCTTTTCACAGATTTAGACTCTGGAAGAAGCAATGTAGGTATACATGCATATCTATAAG